AGAACAACTAAATGAAGTCACTGGAATTGGTAAAACAGAAGACTACAAGAAGTCAATTGGCAATGTCAAGACATGGTGCTGGAAAGAAAACATACTGCCATTTGGTTGATGGATGACTAATTAATTTGTATTCATTAATTCCTCTGCGTACGAAACAATAAAGAGTAACTGTTTATTAAGCAAATACCATGCACTATCCCCTACTACACTAGGTACGTGCTCTATGAAAAACAAACACAATTCTCTAGTTTGGACAGCCTGAGCTATAAGATACTCTCAGTTAGGCAGTAAAGATGTAGCACAGTATGCCTAACTTCTGGATCTGGTTAGCTTTGAATATCTGACTTCTCAACTTGTGTGTTATACCCAGATAACATAAACCATCTCCTAATATTCTTTTAAAGCATTTCAGTTGTAAGGAATATATTTTTAAAAATTATTATTTTCCAGATTTGTCAGCATAGAAGACAACCTTAAAATCATTAATCAGCTATGTCAACAAAACATCTCAATACCACCTTGGCATTACAACTTATGATTTTAAAATTCCTTCAAATAATTTCTCAAATACATTTATTGGAATAAAATGTAACTGCCTAAACATCCATATCTGCAGAAATACAACCAAGAACTCAGAGTCTCCATTTATAAATGGTAGTAAATAATTCCATTTATAACTTTGTTTCCTAACTAGTTTAAAAGTGAAAGACCAAGTGAAACAGATTAATTCATACTCAAACCTATGCAGTGTTCCTTTTACTTGACCTTCAATATTTCTTTCTTTATGTCAGATTTCCCTACCCCCTCCATTTTTTTAGAAATATTTGGAACATCTGAAGCAATATGAAAAAGATGAATAGAAAAGGATTATTCACTCTCATAATACAAGATCTAAGGAGCATCAAATGAAATTATGATGTGGCAGATCCAAAACAAGCATAAGGAAGTACTTCTACATATAGCACATAGTTAAGCTGTAGAAGTCCCTGCTCCAGGATATTGGGATACCAAAAAGTATACTTGAGTTCAAAAGGTGAATGGGTAAATTTATAGCATAAATATCAGTCAAAAAGTATTAGCCACAAGTATATCATATCTGATTTAGTCAGTTCTACAATAACAGATTGCAAGAAGCTGGATGCATATACTCTGTTTGCTTAATCTGTTCCAATAATCTTCCCTGGACATCTGTTAGTGGCCTGTCAGAAATTTGATACCAGAAAAGATGGACCTTTCATCTGACCTAATTATACCTCTTCTAGCTTAAGAACACTAAAAATACTATGAAAATTAATGGGCAAAATTTTATTTATTATGACACGTATGTCACTTTTCTAAATACACAGGAGCAAAATAGTAAGCCCCCTATCCTATCAGCACTGATCAACATTTTTAACAGAATGGCTACCATAACATTTTGAAAAACAACCCCTTAAAATAATGCTAACGTACATTTGGATATTCAACAAGTCTGAATTATATTAGAGAAAACAATGTTCAGAAATCCTAATTAAGTCTCAGACAATCTAGTTACAATGCTAGAGATACTGGAGAATCTTTAGCAGCATAAGTGGCTTTTTGAATTACAGTCTAGGCATAGGATGAAATTCACTTTATTGGACCAGAGAAGCTGAGTTAAATCAGAACTGAACAGATCAGTTATGTGGCTTTAACATATCCAGTATTTCTGGTGTTTGTTGCAAGTAAGTCCAAAATACCAAACCAAACATGATGCTAAGCATGGTCCACTACATTCACTCATTAATTAGCTCAATATATTTCATAATTGGAATCCATTCTGTGAGCCACTAGATACATGCTCCTTAGCAAGACTAAAATGTAAAGCTTAAATTAGATGAAGGGCTGATTAATCTGATATCCTGGATTTATGTGACATCCGGGGACTCAGAATGCAGTTTTAACTGATAATTATTATTATTACTGTTTTGAATATTTTCATGGTTAAATTTGAATACAGTATACCATGGTTAAGGTACTAGATCCAGATTTTTTAAAAATCGGGACTTATTAAAAGAAGAGTTTAAATATTCATTTAGAGCACAGCAGTACGTATTAAGAATGGTTTCAGTGGATTCCCCCATAAACATCAAGATTACTGTCATCTGATCATAACACAAGTGCGACTAACACAGCTGCCATGTCAGCTTCTCTTCAGGGGCTAGGTCTTAATCATAAATCAACTGAATGACTAATTCAACATTGTTAAAACCAGCAAGTAGCTGCTTGGAGCCATTCCAGTTTTTACATCTTTCAAAAGGTCAATACACCTACTCAAACACACAATAGTCCTATCTTTCACAGTGTTTTATTCTTTCCTTGAATTGAAAAATGACACATTGGCACCTAAATATAAGTGTGTTTTAACTAACAATTAAAATGTTCATTAATTCTGAAAGAGTGACCGAGTAAAACAAAGACAATTTCGGTTTTCCTCTCTACACAAAATTAAAAAGCCTCTCCTTCACTGTTTTAAACACTTTTATAGTTGCAAAAGTCTGATGAACACATTTTATGGCTGAGCATTTCCTGCATTAACCTTACCTTTGTTGTAATATTATGAATTAAGCTCAGAAATAAACTTTTTTGAGAAGAATGACTACAACTAAATGTGTCTTGTATTTCAAATATGAATACCTACCCGTCAAAATAATAATAAAAATCACAAAGTGGCATCTAACAGTAAAATATATTCTAATCATTTACATCTGCTTGCACCACATAAATGACAGAAGCCTACCGTTAGCATCCTTCATAGAAAACATTTATTCTGCTCTTAAATATAAAAGCTATGTTGCATAAACAGAGGATTTAAAGCTGTGGCAGAGTAGCTGAAGGAAAGGAAATGGCAATCTTTCTGGTTCTAGTAGATGCCTTTCCTATCACACAATGTTTCCCACTCATAAATACATGACAAATACTTCCTCAATCATTTTTTACGAGCAGGGATGCACAGGGGGTAGTCAATGGCTAGCTTGAGGGAAAATAGGAACAGCAGGAGGCAGAAACTGTACTGAAAATGGCTATGTGGTAAATTCTCTTCTGGAACATCACTCAGATACCCAGGCTTTGATCTTTCAGCTACAATTACACTCACATCCTTGAGATCCGGGTATACTTTTTAAAAAATAAATCATTAATTGTAATATAAACAGTTAAACTGTTTCATTATACGACTCCTCAACTCAAACATCTGATTTTTTACAAATTAAAAATTGCAATTTATCCAAAGGTTTGGTTTAACTATGTCATCATCACAACTAGTCTCACAAAAAACATGGGGTGACTGGCGACAGCTAAATCACAGACTGGCGTCGCCTAAGTAGCCTGGCTACCATTAGGGTCTGGGAAATGGTATTTACTGTACAATTAGAGCCAGTGAGCTCTACCTGTAATCATCCAAATACAGGTGTGAGGATCCTTTTTGGGACACGGAAACCGACTCATCCATTTTCACATAAGCTTCCACGTCTGTACTGTTACAGCAAGCCTTAAGAAACCACAGCATTTTTACTTTGAAAAAAGTATCACCTTACATACAACTAACCTGATCTTAAATACTACCTTGGGTAGAACCACTTCCTATATTTAAACTGTCATACCCAAAAAATATTTAGAGGAAAAAATTAATTTACAATTATAACATTTGACCAAATATGAAGCGCTTACATTATTATATTGCTTGTGAAGTCTATTCTGAAGTCTGCGTTTGGGACTGAGAGGGTTTGCTACTAAAATACGTTAAATTTTGTTCTTTATTACCAATAAAAAATGTCTTGGAGTATCAAAAGGACAGTTTTAGTTGCAGTAATTTCACAGAATTTATTCTAATGATTTATTGGAGTTAACCATCTGACATTAATTATTGTTTTGGCTTCCAGTCTATGAATGTTTATTTTTCAGTTTAAAGCCTTCTCACTCTTTGATATCATATGGAAATGAGAATTTTTAATGGAAAATTGAAACCATGTGCATCTAAGTACTTAATGAAGTACAGGGAGAAACAGAGGGTGTACTTTAGGAGAATTCAGATATTCCGCTTTAGATACTTTTGATTTGTTTGGATGAGTTACATGTATATATCTGTTCACAAACATACATTTATACATCTTCAAAGTACCTCACAAGTACAGTGTTTAAAATTCTGAATTGTAAGAAAATATTTGCTGTTTGGTTGGGGTTTTTTTAAACTAAACACACTGTTATAGATTTTCCATCATCATATGCTAACTACCCAAACTGTTCCCTCCTCCCCAGCGCAATATTTATGCCATCTAGAGCTTCCAATGACATGCTAAACTGCTGTACTTCTCAACAGTGGATTCCCACTATTTGCCTACCATGTTAGGACTGGATCTTCATCCAGTTCACTGAACGTCTGATAGACTGATTTTGTAAACATTATGTACCTGAGTCACAATATTGATGCCAGAAATACCTGCCTAAAACCTGAGCCATTCATGGCATTAAAGCCCACCAAAAGAGGCCTGTAAACCAGGCACAAGAAGTGGCAAGAAACCCAGGCACCCAACTGCAAACAGAAGAGCAATTCTAAAATGTGCAATTTTGTTTGAAAGACTTCTGTGCAACTAGTCTTCTGGCATTCAATTCATTCCTTTGCAATGAAAAATATGCTGTTCAGACAACCAGCATTATAGAACATGATAAAGCCATATCCTTATTTAAATTAGTACTTCTAAATCAAATCTATTTTCTTCAAATCTATTTTCTTCAAAGTTAATGGATTGATGTCAAATCAGAAGGATGGAAAGCATATTCTCTTCTGCAGTTTCAGTCAAGGTTTCACCATATGCATTGTACTCAAGCAGCATGTCAGTGGGAGCATAACAAGTAACAGAAGTGCAAGGTAAGTTCATATAGCTATTTTAACTAATATCCTTGGTGATCTAAATGTGCAAGGAATTACTGACCACTGACAAATGTGAAACAGAAATATAGACACTTAACCTGTACACACTCACCACTTGTTTTTCTTTCTAATGTAGTCTTTTTCAGACAGATTAACCAAGTAGATCATCGGTTTTGAAGTAAAAAACAAATGTTTGTTCAAAACATCAATCTGGAAGTGAGAACAAAGGGGGAGAATTTTAAAAACAATTTATACCAACTTGAATTAATTTTATGATCATTTTCCTCAATGCATGTCTGAGAAGGCTACAGAATTCAAGTGTAATACATAAATCACAGATAAGTATTGATACAGCAAATAAATTCAACATTCAATATATTATGAATATAAAATCCAAAAAACCCCAAAAACCCAACAACTTTAAAAAGAACCAGTAACAGGTAGCAAAATTAGAAGTCAATACATGGAGTAATATTTATAGCCTACCTCTTTGTCATTCCAATCATGATAGAAGCGGACAGCTTTCTTTTCATCTATTACCCATGTCTTGATTTTGCACATTACGTCCTACGCAAGATCAAAAAAAAACCCAAAGTCAAAAACTCAGCTGGATATCAAGACTATTCTCTTCCATAAACAAGGCATGTATCCATTAAGATTCAAAACAACACACAAACGAAAAATTAGGTAATACCTTTTATAAAAAAATTTTTTTCTCTCCCAGCAAAACAGAAATTGCTGCTTTAAAAGTCGCTAAAGAGCAATATGGATTATTAGTCATCCAAGTCCCACAGTTAGAAATTTAAATACACAAGACACAAGTATCATCTCTTGTCACCAAGAACATCAGCAGAACTCATAAAATATATGTAAAAACAGTACATTTTAGATTGCTTTTCAAACTCAGTAAGACGCAACATTTCAGCATCCAGCGGGAGAGACCACGTACAATATAAACATGCCATTAAGAAAAGGGAATGGGTGGGACAAAACACAGCAAATTTTTTTTTTTAATTGTGAGCAAAAGAAATGGAGCCTATTATTGATGATCCACCCTCAAGAAATTAATTCAAACGGCCAAAGCCCTTTTTATTCCGCATTAATTTTTCGCCAACACCTTCTCCCTCCCCCCCCAAAATGAAACCTGCCAAAGCCTCCATTACACAATGGCAAGAGCCTTGCACTGGTGACCTCCAACCAGCTGCATTCACTTTCAGAACATCTCTCTCGGCAGGAAATCTAAAGGCCTTTTAGTTAGCAAGCTAGTGTGCATTCAGAAGGAGTAACTGCAGGAAGAGCCCAATGTGCTTTGTTTCTCTGGCCTTTCTTCACAGAAAGATTAATCATCTGTGAAATGGAAACGGCAAACAGCAAGTGACACAAACTGAACCCTTCAAGCCTTTCCTCATCAGTTTTGTGGTCGTGAATCCGAAAGCTGCGTGTGGCACGGTTTTCCTTACAGGCAGGTGTTAATAAAAGGCTCTTGGGTCTGAAAGGTCAAACTCTGCTCTTCTAGGAGTAGTACATTTTAGAGTCGCCTATTTTTTGTTGTAGATAATTTATGATCATGCTTTAAATAATGCATTTTTTTAAGTTGAAATTGATGCAACTGAGCATTAAGATCTTTAAAATACAAGGAAACATTCCCTGAACTGTTGAGCGCACACCATTTTTTGCACTTAATGCTATGCAGTTGAAGTACATTTATAAACAACCACAAATAACATCAGTATTTACTACCATCTTTTCTAGTCTTGCAGTAGCTTTAGTGGAGGGAAAAAAAAAAAAAAAAAAAGCTCTTCTAAATCTTCAGATCCTGATTTGAAACCCTCCAGGAACAGGACTCCCCACAGATTTTAACAAGGAAGGGGCAAGCTAAAACTTTTAATGAAATCTAACATGTTCTGCCTAAGAATAATCACTTTTACTCTCCTATAACTGAATTTCACTCATAAATGTTTAAAAGTGGCTAATATAACACCATTTCCTACAAGGAGAAGATCAAAGTGCTATATTACAAATGCATTATGATTAAAAAAGCACTGTGCAGCTTTGCTATTAACTGTTCTTTAAACCCTAAAAGGCTTCCCATAGATCTCACTTGGCACTGCATATACAACCTTTGACAAGTAATGTAGACCATTTTTATTCATTGCCTAAAATTGTAGGCAATTATGTGCGTCACACTGGCCACCTGCAAATTCTGAATGCCTGCTCCAGTTGTCAGAGCAAAAAACTAATGTCGGAGGGGATTAATCTAGGGGGAGAGAGTCCTCTTTAATGGCTCCAGCAGGTGAAATGGCCCAGCTGGTTACTATGATGAGTGGCCAGAACAGCTTATGTAGAGACATGCAACAAGATTACACATAAAGAAGAAAACACTGGTACCATCTTATCTTTAACCCTATGTGCTTTTTATTTTTTAATTAAATCTGTATAAACAAGATAAGGGAAGCAATTCTACCAGTAAGTACTTTTCACTTAAGATATTTATCCTCAGCTTCTCTTTAAATAGATATATATAAAAATCAACACAATTGCCAAGATTCCTGTTCAGCAGTGAAGGAATTCTGGTTACACCCTATTTTGGGTTTTTGCACTAGTTCTGTAGGCACCTACCATATGACTTTCAGCATTACAGTTTCTCCCACAATAGCAATGCATTGCTACATATAAATTGGAGTCAATAAAAGACTGACAGAAAAAAAAACCTACTACAGCAGAAATCACCAGAGCCAAACTTTTAAGTTTCTGCTTAAGCAGAAATGAAATGTTTTGTAATCACACTGTAAGGGGACCTACGTAACACAGGACCTCCAGAAAACTTCAAGCATCAAAATAGTAAATAAAGTTTGGCCTTTCTAAAGCCTGTCTAAGCACAGAGCTGCCAATCAAAATCTCTTCCACATTCATTTGCTACTTACAGTGACACACAGTCTAAATCCATTTTGGCACTGACCTAATTTTATTAAGCTCCCATTTACACACCTGACTTAAAGCTGTTTGCAGCTGTTGTTCTACAGGAGTGATTGATTACATGGACAATTTCTACAGGTAAGGCAGATCTACAGCTGAGTAGGACGGGAACAACTAACAATCATGTACTTGCAATTTTATTTTGGTTTTATAGGGAAGTCGGCAAAGTATTGGAAAACTTTCTGTAGATAAAAGGATGGAAACTTGTCAGCAAATGCAGCATTTTTGTATGAAGCTAATGAGGCAGTGAGACACAAAGAAGTTCTCTGATGCACTATATGGGCAGCACTTACACCAGAATGTCAGGCAGACAGTCCAGAAACTTAAAAATGGGTCAGCTGAACTTAGATTCCCCTGTCTCAGTGGTGGTGTTACACTGAAATGGGACTTAACTCCTTAACAAAAAATTGTTAAATATAAATGACAATATAAATAAAGGCACATCTTTCCACATATTTCTTTTAACTCAGCTGCCCCAATACTCTAAACAAACATACAAAGAGCACATTTTTTGGTTATTTCTCATGCAGCACCATTTTGAATTCTTTGCATCTATTTAGGACTGTTAAGAGAGTACAACCCCATCTTTTTATCTTCTCTATCATTGTACTAGTCATTTACACACATTTAATGACTACTCAAGTTAACTTTGAGATGCTTAATAACAAAATACAGAGCAATGATCTGCTTTGTTTTATTACATCTGACTTCTACAACTGTACACTTTGAGGTCAATCTGTCACCAGCAGAATGATCCACTTTGCCTTCTTTGATGAGAGGGGTACTCTTGTTTTCCAGCTAGCAAAATTAAAACACAAGCCATTCAGAAAGCCACAAAAAATCTGTCCAAATTCCAATTTCCTTACAGTTGTAAAGGCATATGAAATACAGCAAACTTAATGAATATCAAATCATCGCTGTTCTTAAAGTCAGTTAATTTATGACTACATGCATGGCAATATATTTAGCACATATGAATACTCAGTATATTTAGCCATGTGAAATACAGTGATTTTAATTATGTCCGGCACTCATTTTTCCAAGACCACAAGTACTCAACCCACAAATGCAGGACATTAACAGTAAGTCCAGCAGTATAATATAATGCAATACATGTATATTGCATATAGCAGATTTACCAAGACCTACTCATGAACACTACTGTGCAGAAAAATGTGCATACATTAACAGACTTTCTGGATGAATGATAGTAATAATGTGTGCCAATGCCAAATTCTTCTTACAGCATGAGGGACTAAACTGAAGCTTGGAAAACTCACTTGCCTACTTGGCATCAGAAAATTGTGATATTTTTGTTGTAAATTACCAGGGCATGTAATTAACTTCCGCAAATTTAATAAAGAAATAAGCAGTTGTGAGGATTATCACTTCACACTTCAAAGTGCAAGTGAATTCCCTGTGATCCTGCAGGCACTGCAGAAGTCACTATAGAGTAACTGTGAGTACAGTAAGGTTTTTCCCCTCACTAAGGAAAGTATGGAAGGTTTTTCAGCACCTTACTCATTCCCTTCAAAACTTCCAAGATGTAAAAATTTACCATCTTCCTGTAAAAGCTTCAAAAGCACTTACATAATTTTTATTAAAAGGTCTAAAATTCTATCATTTACACTTCTCAGCTGCTTGGAAAAACTACAAGGAGTAGTTAAAACATTATCTGTAAACATTATTTGTAGTTCTTAGTTAGCTCCTCTCACTTCATTCCGAAGTCCAACACCATTGCATATCAGTAATGAAGGTGGTAGTGTATAAATAAACATATTCTGACTTCCCTAAATAATCTGGTTCAGCGGCAGAAGGTGTTTCTTTAATAAATCACTGCATATACTAAATGGAGTCAACATCGCCTACCCAGTAGGCCTCAGAATACAACTGTAAATAAAAATGTGTGTGTTTCTGATGGCACTCCAAACAAACTCTTTGCTTTTCACTGGTTATCATCTTTCAACAGCCAAAAAAGTCCATGTTAATGACACACACATTCTGAGAAGAGTAACCTACAAACAATGGGAACCTACGTAGGGACCAGAACTGCCCCACAGCTCTAGTGAAAGCAAACCATGGATTTGAATACAAACCCTGAAGTTCATACACTGCTGGGCAGGGCCAAAGGGAGGGTGGATACAGTATTTACCAACACAGCACTTCCCTCTTGAAAGAATGACTGAGAAGCCTGAAGGGTCACAAGCAAATGAAGTGTACTGTAACTAGAGGACTAATGAAATCCTGGAGTATATAAAGAACCTAGCGTCCAATGGCAATAATTTTACACTTATCTCTGCTGAAATAATGAAAAACTGGACAAAAAACAGAGGTTTTGAGAAAGTGCTTATGCATGAAGATTTGGTGTTCTTAAATTCTATGCTTTTATTCTTATTGCATTATATATACATATAATAAAAATCTCACCTCTCACAGAGTTTTGCACTAGCATAGAGAAATCAAATGACTGCTAAAGCCTGACAAATACAGATTAAAACTGTACCTTACCTCTGAACAGTAAAGATAATTAATTACTGTCACAGCTAATACAAGTTAAAGCTATTTATCTCTAGCCAGAAAATATTTCAATA